TATCATCTTAACATCATTACATTGTTGCTCGTGTCATTATCAGTGCTATTAAATAAATAATTATAGTTATATTCATCGCTATTAGTAATAGTATTGCTATTTTGATTTTCACTGATTTTATTGTCATATCAACTTTATTAACGTAATAATTTTTGTTTACTACCATCATTTTTATTTATATTGCTATGGTATTCAATATTCAATAATATTTACGTTGTCATTTAAAGCATTATTAATACTACTGTAAATATTAAGAATGTTTTTTTAGTAATTATTTCAATATCACTACTGTAATTTTTGACAATGCTATCAGCAATAATATCAGTATTGTTATCATAATTACAATTATTGTCACCAATGCAAATAATGGTAATGAATATTATTACTCGTAATTATCGTCATTATTCACATTACTATTCTTCTTAGCATTATTTTTATTATCTGTCATTATCATTACTTTTTCTAGTAATATCAACTTTGGATGATTGAAATGACATCCGTTTTTGAATATTTAAATCAATCCAGAATCGAAAAGTTTCGTGGTGCCTTGTAGTAGTGAGTCGTAGTACGTGCGAACTTTGCTAATTTACTTAATGTAATAGAAAATTTGTCGACTTATATTTGTCTTTTGTATACTTTTATCATCCACTCTTACTCGAAATAAACCAGAATTTTGGAAGATGATTGACAATCAGTGCTTACTGACTTTAATTGCGGAAATATCATCTGGTGCATCTAAAATGTCTATTCCTCAGTAGTACGCACATCCATTATAAGCTTATTTCTGTCAGCACATTTTTCTTATTTGAAAATTAGTCAATCATACCAACCAATTTTAAAATATTTTCAAATGAAATATCATCGAAGCATTAGTTTTAATTGGAATGAATTTCTTAATTACAACAGATATTATTTATGCAAATTTTTTTATCGTTAATAATATTACACTTTTTGTTCAGAAAGCTTATTACTTTGTTAATAATTATAACGCTTTTGAAATTGATTTTGACTTGAAATTTGTATATTACTGCGTAATATTTCAGTGGTTTATATACAAAATATATTTCATAGCTTATTTTTTATGCAAGGAAATAGTACATTTTCCCAAACGCTTCATGCATATAGAAGTTCTATAAATGAATACGTAAAATGACTAGTGTGTTAACACAAAAAGTGGCAGTATAGAAGAAGACGTGCAGACTGATTGTTTGCTATATCATTTGTTGATTTTATCACAATGAAACAATGAAGCGAGTGAAAACTTTACATCTAATTGTGTTCATATATTTGCATTTTTTTCTTACCACAAGCAGACAATTGATTTGTGATTATCAATAACTTTTTCTGGAAACGGAAGATGTAATTGAAAACTAAGATTTAGGTTTTATTTTTGTAGAAATGAATTTCATCTAAACGTAATGAGCATATTAGTAGCATTATTACTGTTAATGATAATGAAATGGCTGTTAAGTTAAAATGTTTACTTTACTTACTTTACGCATAAAAAAGTATGATTATTAATTTACTCTCACAATCAGTGGATCGTGAATAGACTGTAAATTATTATGGAGAATTAGCAAATTCTCGCATGAAATTTTTTTTCATTGGAAGGAAAGTGATACGCTGAGCAGTAGGCTCCATCACTGCGCAGTACTGATTCAGAAATGGTATCCCCAGTGTTACTGTGGCAAATGAATTCCACTCGCTCTTGATAGCTAACGTACAATTACCCAAATCCTGAAATATTTCATAATTTATGTTATCTACAAAAGCGGAAATTTAAGTCGCAAAACTCGTGGAAACTTTTGAAAGGTCTCTGTGTTACCATATTTAATGTAAAAGAAAAATTAACATTTGAAAAAATGAAGTTTTCCGGTTCCATCACATACGTGTTAGATTTGGTAAAGAGTTTGAGTGGTTCGAATGTCTGTTCACAGTTCACTGTATAGATATTCATAAGTGGATCTTTCTGAAACAACTGGTGAATAGGACTGAATTGTAGTAAGCGATGACCAGTTTTATCAAGATTATTGTCTAATAGTCAAATATTACGATCAATGAAAGCTATTTGACCTCTGCATCGAGATTTTTTACAATTTCTTGCATTAATTCTTTTGGAACTGTGATGAACAGTGAGCTAGCGTGAATGTATGCAATTTTTTTCCACTTTGTGAAGGAAAATGTCGCATTTCCCACGGATATAGAAGAATAATTGAAATTGTAGCGATTTTCTAATGATGAAACCATTTCAGATGTACGGATTCTTGAATCACACAAGGAATGGTCGATTGCACCAAGCGTTAACACTGGAATCACGTTGGATTCCTGTATTTTGAAAAAATGCTTTTTGATTGCAACAATAGATATCCGCGTATTCGAAACATAATGCTTAAACTTGAAACTGATTTCACCTTTGGAGGCAAAGCCAATGTGATAATTGGTTCAATTTCGGTTTTCTGAATCACTTGCTTAATTGGATTATCTGTAAAATTGCTACTAATGTTTGTAAATACTAGTCCGAGAACTCCATCCAATTTTTCATAATCAGTTGTCCATCTTGACCATATTATGTATTCAGGTATGTTGAATACAGAATTCACGAACTTCAGTTTTTCTCTGCTTGTTAGCTCAATCTGAATTATGCAAATTAATAATACATCATTGCCATTTACATTTATGTACGCTCGCAATGGCTAATAATTAGAAAAAATTATCTAATAGAAACTTACAGTAATGTTATTACTGACTTGTGATGCAATCAAATATTGCTCTTCACTGCTAAAAGTAAACGTTTTACTTGGACTATTTGCTCTGTATCTAGTCGATTCAGAACTCAAATATCCCCTCTTACTTGTACACGATTGGATTTCGAAAAACTGCCTGCAAAACTTAAATATTAGCTATTTGCTTATTTCGGAAGTGTCAATGTGTGACCTACCTGCATTCTGACCCAGCGACCCAAAGCAGAGGTGTGGTGGTATCGAGCAGAACATTTAAGGCTTTGTTTGAATTCCCAATCCAAATTCTTGCAGAAAATCCCACATTTTGCTGAACACAACGATTGTTTCAATTTATTCTGTAGCAATTTTTGTGAGATTTAATTAATAGAGGACATACTTGGAATGCGTTATAGATAGCATCCAACTTTATTCGGTACTCGCAGTGTGTCACTGATACCAAAGCAAAAGTTACGCATAGCCAATTGAACAACTCGGCGACAGTCATCGCTTTTTACTCAGTGATAACAATTTGTGGTAAATGCCAAATAGTGAAAATGGCTAATGAAGTGGAAATATTCTTTTTATAGCTGAGATAATTCAAAAGAACGATTGTGCTGCAGCAAGCAAAATATTTGCTCAAGTGAATTGTTGAGCTGAAGTCATTTTCGCAGAGTTAGTGACGAGGGCATAAATTATGACAAAGTTGACAAAGTATAAATTCTGTGCATTCCATCGTCAAGTCAACAATCGCGTGTCCGCTTCTGCACTTTTACAATAAATGTAAAGAAAAATATTGCTGAAGATAGCTAACTGCTCAAGAGCAGAGCGGAAACAAAAGTCTGTGGTTCTTATCATAATTTTGATCAAAGCGAACGAGAAAAGATCTCACTGGGATTCTGGGGTTTCCATGAAATGAACTTCGGTTTCACTTGATCACATTTTTGCATATCTTTTGCTTTGTGCTTTTTGCATGATATTATTGTCATTACAGGCAAAGTCACAAGCTTTGCAATTATTCCTAATGAAATACAAAGCTTTGCTCATCGAAAGTGTCCAGAAAACCGATATGTGATATAATGTGAGCAAATTTACAAAATTCGCAGGTTTTTCGTCTAAGTAGAGGAAACTGCGCAATAAATATAGTCACATTTTATTGATTGACGTGGTATTTGGCACTTTTTAACTTTGAAGAACGAAAATTGAATTACGGCATCAAATGAAGCGATGTGTGTTTCATTTTTTAGCATCATAAAAGCATTAAACTTTTGTGAGAAATGTTTGCAACTTCTGCAAGGTTGCAATATTTTGTTTCTTTGTTATGAAGTAACTGAGATCTGTGAATAATTGCATTAATGCGCTGAAAAATAAGCATAATAGAATTCCATCTTTGCTGTGTATTATTTTCTGTTACGGAATTGTACTGTAAAACTGATTAATTGCTGGTCATTGGATTCAATTGCTAAAGTTATGTATGTGTGTTGCATTTACTGTGATTGCTTCCAATTTCACTTTCAATTTCAGATGAACAGCTTGTTGAGATATCGTTTGTGTGCTGTGTTAATAATTTTATTGTTGACCACTGAAAATGTTGCTGGCAACGAGGGAAGAAAAGATCAAATTAACACGTAAGCTAACTAATTAATAATTATTTAATAGCTATTTCACCATCTGATCCCGTCACGTTCAATATTAATCTCAGTCTCATATATTTTTGTTCCTTTTACAGTTTACTGAAAAAAACGCACTGAATTTCATTCGCACAGCCAATAAATTACCAAATTTGTGATGTAATCATCTTCATAGTTCACTGCACCACGTTAGTACGATAAGTTTCAAGAAAAGTAAAGCATTGCAGACATCGGTCAAAGCGACAGTTTTTTGGTATTGGAAATTTTATGGGATTTGGATCTCCAATATTCAGTTTAGGTTGGGGTTATTTCGGTGGGTTCGGAGGTCCTATGGGTTTTGGTTCACCTTTTGGTTTTTGGGGTTGATATGTTAATTTGAATTGTTCCGATATACAGATTCGACTTTTACTTATTTCATTTTTTGAATTATGCAAGCGGTTTACTCATAATATTCTGAAGAGAGTAATTTCATGACTAATGGAAGCTTCTGCATTGTATATTGTAAGTATTGTAACTAATATTTCAGCAGTGATCTTAAATGTTTCTTTTGCATTTTAAATTCATATTCAGATAATTAATGTTCTTTACCAGAACGAAATTAATTGAAATGAAAAACGAATTAAAAGGAAGTAATGGATGTTAAAATTTGAAAAATAACTTCAAATGAATGTATTAATTAAAGTGAAGTAAATTGTTTTTTCGAATTTCCCTTCTCTTCTGATTTTGTTTATTTCTTTGAATGAAAAGTATAACTCACTAATCTAATTCATGTTTTAAAAATGTCAAGAAAAAAAAAATCATATTGCATTTTGCATTACTTATCCCTCTATGGCGCTTTCTTTTAAGTCTGTCTCACTTGTGCTACACTCGGATATCGAAGTTTATTACTAAATTGTGTTTTATTGATGGAAATGTCTTAAAATTGCATTTCACGAAAAAAGTAAACAATTTCTTGCACATATTGGAAAACCAGCATTCCATATTCATCTGTACATTTATTCAAATGTTAGCATTTTTGATCACAAACAGAACATGAACTTAAGTTGTAAAAGTTAATTTGTTGTACTTAATGAAGATATTCTTTGGATTTTTCTTTACTTAATGAGCTGCTTGTCAAATTGCCAAAAACAGTTAATAACTCTTAAGAGTTAATAATTGGTATAATTAATCATTTAGCAGAGATTCTAGGAAACTAAATGACATATCTGTGTTTTTAGTAAGAACCATTCTTAAGAATTAGGTATTGATAAAAACTGACTATTATAATGTGAAAATAGAAGAAATAATGCAAACAAGACTCATTTCTTATTAAAACAAAGGCTTATTTAATTAATTCAGAAGCTACCAAGCAAACAACTTTTCACTTTTCTGGCAAAAATATTTCTCATTACATTATATAATGCAAAATGAATAAAAGACTATTGCCTCTGAATATATTAAACTAAAAAAATTGTTCAACTCAAATGTTAGGCTCCAAAAAAAGAACAATATACTAATTTGAGCTTAAATCAGCAAAGCTTTTTGCAAGTCTCTGTCCAATATATATGCTGTATTCGATGAATTTTTAGACGTTGCCAATATTTCTGATTACAGTGTAGGTGTAAAATTTAAAATTTTCCAGTTACTTAAAGAATTTATATTTTTGTACCAAAAATTATTGCGTAAATTGACAGAAATTTGTATTCGCACAAAGTATTTTTCAAATTAGTATATTCTCTAAATTATTTTATCTAAAGATGTGATACTGAACTTTCCAAATAATACTGTATCATTGGTGATAAATTAAATCTTCACGATTTTGAAGTTTACTTGTGAGATGTGAGATAAAAACAGAATTATGTCAACACGTACTTGTAAGTTCCTTGAAATATGAATAATTTACAAAACTATCTGTATTTTATTGTTACTGACAGATTTAAGACTATGGACAAACTTTTTGTTTCTGCGCATTGTATTATGGCTAGTTAAGAATATTTAACATATACTGTAGGAAATTATCTCACAGCACCTCTTCTTTTTAATTCCACACAATAATGAGACCTCCTTAAGTTTATTGCTTTCATGAGTGGACAAATGTTTTTTATTAAGCACTTTATTGCTTTTTGCTAAATTGCTTTATGTTTAAAATGGTTGGAAAACTTAATTCACATTCCAAAAAGTTATCATTAATTATCGCATTCATTATACGAAAATTAACGAATTTAATTTAGTGTTCGATAAAATCTAAGAGTGAAAACTTTTTTTCGAAGAATAAAAACTGTAGAAACTTTTGAAAATGGAAGTTTTCTAAAATCTGAAATTATTCTTTAAAAAATTAGCCAGTACCTGGCTAAAAGAACTTCTGAGTTTTACTTTTTGCCAACTTAAAGCTCTATTTTTTGTATAACTTTGAAAAGTAATCCATACTTATTATTTGAGTCATATGCTTCATCTCTTTCTGTATAATAGAGGACTAATCACGTCATTAATATTTTACTAATTAATGGATAAAATTAGATATTGAACTGCTTCGATTGCGTCTATATTTAGTCCACGAAGCATTAAAAACTTTAGTATCGTAATAGCAGAAAAAATAGTTCGCTTAACCAAATATAACGATACATGCCCAAAACATTTTAACATTACAAAAGCATTTATTTTTGTAAGAATTACTGTTTCTGTAAAAGCGATAAAGTTCACACTTCTTAAGCAAAACTGAGCGAAAGATTGCTATCGAAAAATATCATTTTAATTTGTTTTTGTTGTTAATTTCATACTATTGCAAATTGTTTTGCTATTTTATTTCGTTTTTTTCGCCATTTTAT